TGTATGTGGCTGGCACCCTACCCACTGAGCTATGGGTGCTGCCTCCATTTCTACTCTTCATTCGCTGTGTCACCTTGGGCTGGTTACCTAACCTCTCTAAATTGCAGTTTCTTCCTCCATAAATCAGAGATGACATCACTGCAGAGAGTTCTTGGAAGGATTAAATGTTGGTAAAGTCCTTGTGTTTAATTTACAGCTGCAGTTATTTTTTATTTTTATTTTATTTTTATTTCTTTAAACAGAGTCTCACTTTCCTGCCCTTGGTAGAGTGCCATGAAGTTGCTGTGAGGTGTCATAGCTCAAAGCAACCTCAAACTCTTGGGCTCAAGTGATCCTCTTGCTTGGGCCTCTCAAGAAGCTGGGACTATAAGACTCTTCACAATGCTTGGGTATTTTTTTTTTTTTTTTTTTGAGACTGGGTCTTGCTCTTGCTCAGGCTGGTCTCAAACTCCTGAGCTCAAGGTCTAGGCTGGTGGATCCCAGGATGCTAGGATTACAGGCTAATTAATTTAGAAGACATGTGAAGAGAAGTACTATTCAGGGCCACCACTATTCTCACGCTTTGAACAACATGTTGGCTGAGGTTAGGAGCCCTGAGGCTTCTCTGTGCATCCTTCCTGGCATCAGAGGCCCACTTTGTCCTCTGCATTCCATTTGTTTCCTTGTTGTGCAAACTGTTGGGATATTTATCAATAACATCTCATATTTACATAGTACTTCGATAAATCACAAAACATTTTCATATATAATCGTGCACTATATAGTGGCAGACCACATGTATGACAGTGGTCCTAGACGATTATAATGAAGCTGGAAAATTCTTATCACTTTGAGACATGGAGATGATCCTGACCCTATATAAGCCTAGGCGAATGTGTGAATTTGTGTCTTAGTTTTTAACAAGAACGTTTAGCAAGTAATAATTTTTTTTTTTTTTTTTTTTTTTACAGTTTTTGGCCAGGGCTGGGTTTGAACCTGCCACCTCCGGTATATGGGCCCAGCACCCTACTCCTTTGAACCGCAGGCACTGCCCAAAATAAATTTCTTTTTAAATTTCAAAGCTTATATAAGGAAATAAAAAAATTTTGTACAGCTGTACAATGTATGTGTTTTAAGCTAAGTTATTAAAACTTGCAAAAAGTTTTAAAAAATTAAAAAGTTTATGAAGTAAAAAAGTTATAGCATGCTAAGGTAAATTTATTATTTAAGAAAGAAAAAGTTTTAAAATCAATGTAAGGCAGCTTAAGTGTGCAGTGTTTAGAAAGTTGTACAGTAGTGCACAGTGATGTCCTGGCCTTCACAGTCAACTCCCCTCTCTCTCAGCCACTCACCCAGAGCAACTCCCAGTCTGGCAAGCTCCATTCATGGTAAGTGCCCATATCAGTATAACATTTTTTATCTTCTATATTGTATTTTACTGTACCTTTTCTATGTTTAGATACACAATTATTATGTTACACCTGCCTGCAGTGTTCAGCACAGTAATGTGCTGTGGGGGTGTGTACCCCAGGAGCAATGGGTCGTACCATACAGACTAGGTATGGAGTAAGCTGCACCATCTAGGTTTGTCTAACTCACGCTATGATGTTAGCACAACAACAAAATCACTATACATTTCTTAGAACGTATCCCTATCATTCTGTCCTGAAAATACAACTGTAAGGTATACAGGACAGGAATTGTTATTTTCAGGTACAGAGGAAGTGAGGTTTTAAGACAGTGTTTTTCAACCTTTTTTATCTCAGGCACCCTTGAATTTCTGTTGCACACTTAAATTATGTTGATTAAAAAAAGTAAAAAGAATATACTTACTGTGCTTTGAACTGCTTTTGAAATAATTTAATTAATGATCTTTAAAAACTTTGGAGGCATGCCTAAGATCCTCTCACTGCATCCCCGTGTGCTGAGGTACACAGGTTGAAAATCACTGTTCTAAGAGATGGTCACTTGCCCAGTACCATACATGGCTAGTACTAGTAGAGTATGGCCTAGAGGCAAGGACTTCTGATCTATTAAGTATTCCTGTACCACGCTGGTATTGCCTGTTAAGCCTATAACTGGGAGTTGAATGAAAGAAAAAGTGGAGTGTGAATGCTGATACATCCTTTCTCACTTGTTACGTTTAGAGCCGGGTACACTGTGAATGCTGATACATCCTTTCTCACTTGTTACGTTTAGAGCTGGGTACACTGTGAATGCTGATACATCCTTTCTCACTTGATACGTTTAGAGCCAGGTACACTGTGAATGCTGATACATCCTTTCTCACTTGTTACGTTTAGAACTGGGTACACAGGTCAACCCATAAAATTCTGGAAATAAAATCCCTAAGTCTCCCTTTATGGCCTATTTTGAAATGCTACAAGATACAAAATAATAAAATCTCTAGTGATGTCATGTGTCAAACTTGTATCTCAGAGAAGAATAAATTCACATATATGAGTTGTTTCTCTTACCAGCAGTTCTCAACCTGTGGGTTGCGATCTCTTTTTAACAATGAAAATACATTGCAGCATTAGGAAGGTTGAAAACAAGTGCTTTAGAAAATAGTTTCTAAGCGTGGTTTTGATTTGCATTTCTCTGATAATTAGTAACAATGAGCATATTTTCATATGTTTATTAGTCATTTGTCTTCTTTAGAGAAGGTTCTATTCATCTTTCTTGTCGAGTTATATAAGGGATTGTTGGCTCTTTTTATGTTGCTTAATTTGAGTTCTCTGTAGATCCTAGTTATCAATCTTTTGTCTGATTCAAAATATGCAAATATCCTTCCCATTGTGTAGGTTGTCTATTTTCTTCGGTTGTTGTCTCCTTAGCTGTACAGAAGCTAAATCCCATTTGCTTATTTTTGCTGCTGTTGCAATTGCCACTGAAATCTTCTTCCTGAAGTCTTTTCCCAGGATGATACCTTCACCTAACCCCAGTGAAAATGGCCCACACCACAAAAATCTCAAAGCTGCAGATGCTGCTGTGGATGTGTAAGAGAAGGGAACACTTTTACACTACTGGTGGGACTGCAAACTAATACAACGTTTTTGGAAGGAAGTATGGAGAATCCTCAAAGAACTCAAACTAGACCTCCCATTTGATCCTGCAATCCCATTATTGGGCATCTACCCAGAAGAAAAAAATTCCTTTTATCACAAGGACATATTGCACTAGACTGTTTATCACAGCTCAATTTATAATCACCGAGATGTGGAAACAGTCTAAATGCCCATCAACCCAGGAATGGATTAACAAGCTATGGTATATGTATACCATGAAATATTATTCAGCCACTAAAAAAGATGGCAACTATATAGCTTTTGTACTAACTTGGATGGAGGTGGAACACATTCTTCTTAGTAAAGCATCACAAGAATGGAGAAACAAGAATCCAATGTACTCAATTTTGATATAAGGACAATTGATGACCTAGTATACAGTGCAGGGTGGGGGAAGGGGAGAGGAGAGGGAGGGAAGGAAGGAGGAGGGTAAGGAGAGGTCATTGGATTTGGCACGCTAAACAACAATGGCAACTGCAACAAAAAATAGCCAGGCATTGTGGTGGGCAGCTGTACTCCCAACTACTTGGGAGGCTGAGGCAAGAGAATTGTTTAAGCCCAAGAGTTTGAGGTTGCTGTGAGCTGTGACACCACAGCACTCTACCAAGGGTGACATAGTGAGACTGTCTCAGAAAAAAAAGAAAAAATAGTTTCTAAGCTAGATGAAATTCAGTAAGACTGAAGCTTGACTGAAAATGTTTCAAAACAAATTCATTTTCTTCAAATCCTCTGTACAAAAAGCCATTTCTTAACTACTTTTAAAGGATTTTTCATATATAAAAATTTTAATTTATGGACCCAAAAGATCTTTTGTTTTCTATTTGGTAAAAATATTTTGTAGCATTGTTCAGAATTAAAAAATAAAACAGTGGTTAATGTGCAACTAAATGATGTTTTAATTTGTTCTGGATATGGACAAATTTATTACAGTTTACATTGTAAATGTAAAAGATGCAAATAGTAAATTTACCAAGCTCTTCTTAAAAGATGCACAGTAAAAAAATCCAATAAAATGTAAGTTTATCTTAATGGAGGTCTAAATGAGTGCTTTAAAATTCATTCTCCTAGGACTGAAGAAATAAAAGCGCTTTGAATCACTGAATTCTTGAAATTTTCAATATAACACAAAATTTTAGATGATGATTAATATCCATCTGTTTGTCAATGCTCCTGGAGTAATTTGAAATATTGTTGCAAAGTGTCATCTATTATGATCCTGGTCTTACTTTACAATATTAATGCCTCTAACTTTGTGGAGGTGATCCTTTGCAGCCTGAGAAATGGATTAAAGGGGGAGAAATACAGCTCTACACAGTATGGCTGATTCTCTACATCATCCAGGAAAACATTCCGGAAGGACTGTGCAAAGCCCAGCCTGGTTATATAGGAAGAACCCCCCAGGCACAAGGCTGACGGCTTTGACATACAGAGCAGGGAGTCTTGGCTGAGCCCTGTTCTCTGCCTAGGACACCAGTGTACTGATTAAAAAGCCAAGACGGGAAGACTGACTGCTCTCAGTGAGCTCACACGTGAGGCGCAGACAGAAGCTGCCATCGCCCAGGAAAGACAATAGAAGAACACACTTAGTTCCCAGTCCTTATGTTTCCACGCAGAGGAGCTAGATTAGTATTCCTGGCCTCTCCTGTAACCCACCTCTTAACTCTTTCTATTGGAAGAGGAGTGAACTCTCTGTTGGGCAGACTGGGAGGAGGAAACAGGCGTGCTCAGTTCAGATCTTTGCTTTTAGGGAGCCAGTGCTCTGGCCAGCTTGTTCTTGCCTAGTCTCTGCCCTGTGGCTAAGAAGCTGACTCAGGTCAGAGACCTGGAGTCACTGTGAGAGACTTACAGGCAAATTTAATTCTGGGGGCAATTTTAGCTAACACACTTGGCATCAGATCTAAAGCAACTTTCATAAATTGATTTTTCAGTTATAAATGATATTTTGACTTCTGTAAACCAGACTCATAAGTTCATCTCTCAGTGGGTTTCAAACTCAATTAAGGGACAGGATATCAACCCGCCAAATACAGCAACAGATATTGTATTTTTACTTAACAAAGAATTTGATTTTGAAATTAGCATTTTAATTTGACATTTCATAATTTCCAAACTATGCGAATATCATCCATAAATCTATTTTATTTACATTCTACAACACAAGCCCTTAGTACTGATTATCACTTGCAAATGATGTAATAATACCTAATATATTGACATGTACATAAGGATCCAAAGGGAGAAATGAAGAACATTAGTACTACACAAATGCCTATGTTATTACAAAACACCTCCAATCAGAATTACCTGAGGCTGGTAATCAATGGACAGAAAAGGTGAACAAGCATCAGCTATCTGTAGAAAACAAAAATGTCAATTACATCCTGGATATGGACAGAAAAAGAGCAGAAAATAGAAGGCAGATGTTACAAATTCAAGTTACCTCTGTAACATTAATCAAACTTTCATGACAGGAGTAAGGATTTGGAAAAGAGGAGCCTCTAAAACTTGCTTAGGAAGTCCTGGAATTGAGATTTCCCCCCAGGTATGTCTCAGTAATGGCTGACAGGGATGCCTCTCACACTGAGAGTATGGGTATTATTTAGTCTGAAAAATGTCAGAACGAACTAAAGGATGACCTTCAAATGAAGGAGGACCTTACGTTGTCATGAGGCTCTTTATCTAGTGTTACCTAAATTAACAGAATGACAGCATGATAAACAGCATACAGAAAAAAATCTCTTCATACAACACAGGCAATCCACTAGTCCTCTGCCATGGAACCAGCATGAGAAAGGATTCTTTTTTTATTTTTATTTTTTATTTTTTTGAGAAAGGATTCTTATAGTGAAGGTTTATCAAGCAGTAGTCAGCAAGTAACTGTTCTCAGACTTTATCCTAAGAAAAAATACTTGAGAGACTATAAACTGTAGAAAAAGAGATTTATTATACAGTAATCATAAAAAACTGTGCTGAGAAGCTGAGCACTAAGATGCAGGTCTGGAGTTGTTTATGGCATTTGTTTCCTTGGTGACCTTTTAAAATGGAACTGGGAAAAAACTGATACTAATTCTTGTCTGTCTCGAATGATTTAGGTTGAGTCCTGTTTATGGCATAGCATCTCAGATGCTTCTCAGAGTCCCAGAATTCTTTTTTGATGAGTTTAATTTGACTTGTCTTCTCACCAAAATGAAAGGGTGGGGTTTCAGTCATAATTTCTCAAGCTCCTTATTACTTCCAAGTTCTAAAATGTATGATTCTCTAGAGGATAACAAAGGTATAGATACTGTGGAAAAGCATACGCTCCTATCTCCTTTTATAGCCTCATAGGACTTGTCGTCATCGCTCTATATCCATCACATGTATTTGGGGGAACTGTTCCATTCCTCTAGTCCCTTGTGCCCATCCGCATGGACCCTCTTCCACACCACACAACCCCAGAACCACACACACACAGACACACACAAACACACACACAGACAGAGTAAGGGAAAGGGCCCTATCATATCTAACTTGCCCAGAATAAGCATTTAGTAAAAATTCTTTATTTTTTTGTTGAGACAGAGTCTCATTCTGTTGCTCTGGACAAAGTGCTGTGGCATCATCATAGTTCACAGCAACTTCAGTCTTGGGCTGAAGACATCCTCTTGCCTCAGCCTCCTGAATTGCTAGGATTACAGGTGCCTCCCACAATGCCAGGCTAGTTTTTCTACTTTTAGTAGAGACAGGGTCTTGCTCTTGCTCAGGCTGATCTCAAACTCCTGTGCTCCAGCAATCCACCTGCCTTGGCATCCCAGAATGCTAGGATTACAAGCATGAGCTGCTGTGCCTGGCCTTCAGTAAAAAAAATTCTTTAATTAAGTTGAATTAAAATTATGGGAAAAAATAAAAACAGAAGTCAGTTGGGAGGGAAAAGCTGAAAAGATAGGCTCTTAAAGTTCTGACTTTTTTGAGTTTTGAGTAATGCTTACTCATCACCTCCAAATGTTATATTCTGTACTTTAGCAGGGTAGGAGGAAGTTATCCCTCCTGAAGTTTGCATAGTGTGTATGTATCCGAAGACAATATATGCTCAAGGGGAAAGTTGTCTGCCCATAGACCAGGCTGCCCCACTATGTGAGGGACCCATGTCCAAGAACAGACAACCCTTGAATCTCAGACATCAATTTCACCTAAATAAAAACATCAAAACTTTTCAAAGTCTCAGTTAATCAAATTAGGAGATAATTACAAAACTTTTCAATCCTTGCTTTTATTTATTTGAGGGGCGCAGCAATACTGCTTGCCCACTTTCATTTAGGTAAGTCCACGTTCATTTTATTTGGTTAATAAATCTAATGGTTTTGAATGCTACCATCAGCTTTTGAGAACTCTGTTGAGTGCACTGATGAATTATTTTGAAACAGTTAGGTCTCTATATGGCTAGACAAGTGTGTGTTTCTAGCATCCCTATAGCTCTGTAATTAAAAAAAAAAAACTCCAGTAGAAAAATTACTATATGTCTTAGCATCAAGAAGTTGAAGGACTTCTTTGAATATCTTTTTCTGTGAAAGCTATATCTGAAGAAAGGGCATGCTGGATCATGGGGACCACTCAGCTGCTTTCCATATAGCCCTACCAGATAACACCCTTACCAGTAAAGTATGAAGGTCTTGTTAACACTCTCAACTTAGCAGATGTCAATGTTTTGCTAGTTTGATGGATAGGAAGTGACATTTTTATGTCCTAAGTTTCATTTAATTGCTACTAATGAATCTGAACATCTCTTTAGATGTTAGTTGGCCTTTTGGGCTTCTTCTTTTGCAAAATGTTTTTTTTTTTTTTTTTTTTTAATATTTCCTTGCTTATTTTTTTTAAATTTTTATTTCTTTGATTTTTTTTTTTTTAATAGAATCCCACCCTATGCCCTGAGCAGAATGCCTCAGACTCAGGCTGTAGGCATCCCTCTGCCTCAGCCTCCAGAAGCTGCTGGGATTACAGGTGCTCACTGTGGTGGCCAGCTGGGTTTTTCCTTTTTTTTTTTTTTTTTGGGAGTTGGGGTCTCACTCTTGCTCAGGCAAGTCTTCAACCCCTGAGCTCAAGCAATTCTCCTTCCTCAGCCTCCCACAGTGTTGGGATTATAGGCGTGAGCCACTGTGTCTGGCTGCAAACTGTTTTTATCCTTTGACTATTTTTATTTTCAAGCTCTATCTAAACTTTGGTGGAGTTTCTTAGGTATTCTAGAAAAGTAACTCCTTATCAACCTCAGATGTTATCCTAGCTCCTTTCAAAGGGTCTTACCCTTTTCAAAGGAGTCCTTTGTGGAAGGAAATCTGTACTTTTAATGTAATTTAATAGGAAATGAGTATTTTCTAATTTATGGAATTTTCCTTTCTGTTTTAACATACATTCTATTTTTTAATCCTCTAATTGTACTCAACAAGAATGTGTATACTACTTAAGGCAGGATTTAAAAAACATTTCTAACAGCTCAAATTAACTGTATGGTTAGATATTTGATATATCTACTTATGAGTTATCTGCTTCAACTATTGGTTTTTGAAAGAAGTGCATAAAATCTCTAATACAACTGTTGATCTACCTTTTCTTCCTCAAGTTGTATCAGTTATTAAATAAATTTTGAGGTTGCATTGTTAGTGTATATTAATGATGGCTGTATCTTCTTGTGCTATTGTTCTTTTATCAGCATATAAGATTTGTGGGTGATGATGATGGTTTGTCCATCATCAGAAAGTTTCTTTCAGTTCATATTTGCTTGGTACCTCATTTTTCATACTTCTATATTTTATCTTTTTTTTTTTTTTTGGTTTTGTTTTCTCTAAGTGTCACTTTTATAAACAATATATTCCTGGATCATTTTTAAAAAATATAATCTTAGAATACCTGTCTTTTAAGTGGTATATTTTATCACATTCACATTTATTATAATTTCTATGATTCATTTCTGATTTCTTTACCATTTACTGTATTCTTCCTTTTCATCTTTCCTTTTATTTAATAAAAATAATAATTCTGGATATTAGTACATCAAAATGTTGGTAAAGCTATAGTTGTCTGAAAGTTCAATTATATTATTTCATTCTACCATAATAATTTCAAAGAAAAGCAAAATTTCCACTAATTTTTTTGATTATAATTCTTTTTTTTTTTTTGAGATGGAGCCTCAAGCTGTCCCCCAGGGTAGAGTGCCATGGCGTCACAGCTCACAGCAACCTCCAACTCCTGGGCTCAAGCGAGTCTCCTGCCTCAGCCTCCCAAGCAGCTGGGACCACAGGCACCCCCCACAACACCTGGCCATTTTTTGGTTGCAGCCATTATTGTTGTTTGGCGGGCCCAGGCTGGGGATTTGAACCCGCCATCCTAAGTGTATGTGGCTGGTGCCCTAGCCGTTTGAGCCACAGGCGCCGAGCCTTGATTATAATTCTTTACCTCATTCCACAACTGTAGTTCTTCTTGTTCAGGCTGCAATCCTTGAGGTAATATCAGAGCACCTAAAAATAAAGTTATACCCACCTGTTAATTTTATAGTATCTCTTCCAAAATTAAATATCTGTATATAATTCCTTTTCAGATGCTATTTTTCATTTTTTAGTCTATGTAATTGCCCACATATGTCATGTAGATATTTCAGTATTTGACTTAGTAAAAGGAGACATAATTATTAAATTAACCTTAATAAAATTAGAAAGACATTACTCTCAAGAATGAATTATGTATGTGCCTAAATAAAAACTTGTACATGAATGTTCAATAGCAGCATTTATTCATACTAGTACAAAAGTATAAACAATCCAAATGTCCATCAACTGGTAAATAAATAAAATGTAGTATATCCACACAATGCAATGCTATTTGGCCATAAAAATGAATGAACTAACAATGTGTATCTGCTACAACATGAACCTCAGAAATACTATGCTCAGTCAAACAAGCCATATATAAAAGACCAAATATTGTGTGACTCCATGTGTATGAAATGTCCAGAGAAAGAAAATATATAGTGACAGGATGAGGAATGGTTGCCCGGGACTTGAGGGAGATATGGGGATTGACTGCAAATGCACATAACAGATCTTTTGGGAATAACAGAAATGTTCCAAAATTATATTTCTATGATAGCTGCACAAATCTACTAAAAAAGAAAAATCACTGAATTGTGTACTTAAAACAACTCAATTTTATGGTATGAAAACTATATTGTAATGAAGGTATTTTTAAAAAGAATTACTTTAAGTAAAATCTGAAAGAAAATATTGAAGCCATTATTTAATGAAGACTATACAGTAGGCAAGAGGCACAAATTCCCAGGTGAATTTTAACTTTGTCCCCTCTGAGACAAGTCATTCAGAAGTGAATGAAAGTCATATGTGTGTACAAAGATGACTTTATAAGATACATATATACAACCGTTATAAGTTATATAGGGACAATGCAATTTAAAACCCTATACTTCTTGTTTACAGATTGCCAGATCAAATTCTCTTAATCTTTTTCAATTAAGACATTATTTATTTGCTTAAAAGTAAAACTTTTATATTATATTAAGGATATCACACTGTATTAAGGAAAACAGGCCAACATACCTCTAGAAGGTGAAATAAATATGTAACCAATATTAATTAAGGTTATAGATTCAGCTCTATGAAATTTTATTTTATATTTGATAAAAACATTTTGCTTTTTCCTAGGGTCATTTTTACTTTAGCACAAAGAATATTATAACTAAAATTTAATTTGCTTAAGTATTATTTTTATTGAGTTTTCAAATTTGGAAGCAATTTGCCACAAAATGCATACCAATGTCTTAAAAAAATGAAAAGTCAAGATAATCAGTATGAGATTTTTCTACCAATTTCACTTTTATCCATAATAATTTCTTTCTTTTTTTAAATCCCTAATAATTTCATAGCAAATTATCCAGATTATGTCTTCTGGACTAACTAGTGCTGGAATCTAAATCTCAAATGCTATTTTGAAAAAGAGCAGCGGAAATAATTTTGGTAATCTGTAAAACAGCAGCATACGGTGTGTACTGTATTTTAATTCTTGTTTGAATGAATACTGAATTAAAAATACAAACCTTAAAGGAAACATGTCTTTGTATTTTATGGTTGAAGGGGGAAAAATACATTTCAATATATAAATAAAAAAGAAAAAATGAGATAAAAAATGTCTATCCCTAAACTTAATTTGGTGGGTTAGGGTCTTTGTATTGTAAAACATGTATTCAATCCATCATTAACCATTTTTAAGTTTCATTTCTTCACCTGGGTGATCAGTTTTAACCAGAAATCATTCAGTACTCTGAAGCACAATGACTTTGCACTGATGTTGTCCAACCCCAAATCCATACAAACTGAAATTTACTTTCTAAATGTCACAGAAATGGTTACATTTTGTGATAGTGTTGGAACAAACAAAAAAAAGGCATTCAACAATTGTAAAACAGTATGTAAGTAGCAACTTTCTCTTGTCTTGTGTGTGTTTTAATTACTGAAACATGTTTTCCATTTTTAAATTCTACCAAGAGGGGGCAAATAAAACACCTTGGATCCCATTTTGTATGTTAAAGTTAATCTTTTAGAGTAGAGTTTACTTTGTCCAACCCATGGTATTGAGTTGCTTTCATTGCTTTTTAACTGGGCCAAATAACTTTTTAGTTGTTTATATGTTCAATTTCTGAAAAACTACCCACTTTTATTATAACAAGGTGGTTTCAAGCAAACTGGAAAATTTAAAGTTTCACAAAATTTCTCAAACAGATTCTGAATGTAATTAAATACTTACTAGTGGTTATTTGTTGGAAGTTAGTATGAAAATATAATTATATAAATTTATTTTATTATGGAATCATTGTAAAACTGATAAGCTAAACCACATATGTAAGACTGATCTTATTTTCTGACTTTTTGGAGAAAGAGAACACAAATTAATGTTAAAATTAAAATGATGAAAGTAAAATACTAATTTTTTTTACTGCCGTTCAAAATTAGTTGAAACATGAAATCTTTAAAAGTCAAGTACTTAGATTTAATCTGGCCAAGATTGTTTCTCTGAATTTAGAAGAGAATAAGTGAAGTAACTACCAGGCACTCTTTCCCTGTTCAAAACTACTTGAAGAATATTTTTCTTTAACATATAGGTGCCAAAATCAAATATCCATGGGCTAAATTTCTTAAGATAATAATAGCTTAGAACACTATTTTTAATTTAATATGACTAATAGTAGTATGAGTAAGATTCTATCAAAATGTTCCACCAGTCAATGGTCCTCTTACATAAACGTCAAATTGTGGCCATGAAGCTTGTGACATGTTTGCCTTTCATTATAGGGCTTCTTAATTTGAGTTATACAAACTGAATGCAGTTGAATAAAGAGCTGATAAATATTAACTTACTGTGTAAAGTGAACTTATGAATTGATTTACTAAATCTGTGCAGTAGAGTTTCCTTAGATGCTCTTCTCTCTCTCTTTTTTCTTTTTGAGACACAGTCTCACTCTGTGCCCTAGGTTGCTGTAGCATCACAGCTCACAACAACCTCAAATGCGTAATTAAGTGAGCTTCTTGCCTCAGGCTCTTGAGTAGCTGGGACTACAGGAGCCTTTCACAGCCCTGGGGATTTTTTTTTTTTCTTTTTTGAGATGGGGTCTAGCTCTTGCTCAGGCTAGTCTTAACTCCTGAGCTCAATCCACTTGCCTAGGCCTCCCAGAATGCTGAGATTACAGGTGTGAGCCCAGCCCACACCTGGCCCTGTTCTCTATTTTATGAGTCCTTAAAAAAAAAAAAAAAAATCCTAGGTTAGGGGCAGCACCTGTGGCTCAAAGGAGTAGGGCGCTGGCCCCATATACCAGAGGTGGTGGCTTCAAACCAAGCCCTGGCCAAAAACTGCAAAAATATGAAATAGTATAAAGGAGCTTAATTTGAAAATGACTGTGGATTAGGGTATTTGATACTGTCCTTAGCTCTTTAGAAACACACAAAACCAGAGTGGTAAGAGATCTTGGATACTTTTGCAGATCTACCTGACTACCCACAACTGTCTTTTAAGCACTGGCTTTATTATAGCTGCACAAAGCATTCACTTTATTGATTGGACACAAATGCTTCAATATTTTCATCCAAATATTCATAAATCTGTTCAGAAAATGAAAAAACAAAGAAATGCTGCTTTGGTATTTGTTTTATCAACTGAGATTGTGAAGAATGTTTGCCCACTGATCTTTTAGAACAGTAAAGACTACTCTGCCAGCTCTTAAGAAGATATAGCCAGGTTTGAATCATTTCCAAAACTTACATAAGCAGGTAAAATCTTTTGGGTAACAATTCACATTGCACTAGAATCTATGATACTTACTATTGGCATTTCTGTTATTCAAGTAGTTATACATAGAACTCTCTCTCTTTCTCTCTCACACACACACAAATTGGATGTGTAATGTCATACTTTTAAGTCATTTAATATTGATATGATACTGATATCATATAGCAGAATAACAAAAGCATGTAATTTGATAATGAATCTTATACAACATTACCTCACCTAGACGTGTTTTATCTGTATCTCTCTTTTTTAAAAAGATGCATTTGTCTCTCTCTGGTACTTTAAATGTTTTGGATAAATGACGTAATACAAAAAATTTAATAAAATGTTGAAGCAATATGAAAATAAATAAATAAAACAATTACTTATTAGAGCCTTAATTATTATTGAAATAAAAATGTTAGAGTGGTGCCTGTGGCTCAGCGGGTAGGGTGCCAGCCCCATATACCAAGGGTGGCAGGTTCAAACCCAGCCCTGGCCGATCTGCAACAAAAAAAATAGCCGGGTGTTGTGGCGGGTGCCTATAGTCCCAGCTACTTGGGAGGCTAAGGCAAGAGAATCTCCTAAGCCCAGGAGTTGGAGGTTGCTGAGAGCTGTGACGCCACAGCACTCTACCGAGGGCGATAATATAAGACTCTGTCTCTGAAAAAAAAAATGTTACCTAGCTTCCATCCTCCAGAATAAGCTTTCTCCATAGGTTTAATTTTCTAATTCATACTATGAAAATTATAAATATTATCTCAGTATTTTCGATTTTTATGAATACTTAAATGTAATGAGTAATATCTTATATACATACATATACATTTACTTTTACTTAAAAACAAGACAACTCCTGCAGCATAAGACTGCAAATGTTTCTAAGACTTACAATATAGCAAAATTAAGAACTTTAAAAAATAGGCTTAAAGAGAACTTTTTAAAAATAATGAGATAGCACTTACTGAGCATTTATTTGATGTAAAGTACCATGCTAAACATTGTAAATGTATTATGTCCTTTAATTCTCATACCAACCTTTCAAGATAGGTATTATTGTTATTGTCCCCATTTTAAAAGGAGGAAACAGAAGGAAGGAAGGATTAAGTAATTTGTCTAAGAACACCTAAATAGATAGGCAAGAAGGCAGGTTTCAAGCCAAGCCTGATAGATTTATTTTTCCTAATTCTATCACTTTTAGGCAAGTCTTGCCTTGAATTCACACAAGTTTTTACTATTATTTATTTAAGTTCTAATAATATAACAGTAACCAACTATATTTTCTGTGGTACTGAGCATTAGAAATAATTTGGTGTTCTTGTAGTTCATAATAGAACTAACTTGCTTTATTTCAGAACCCAGCTGAATCCCCTCTCATTGGACAGACAACTATTCAAGGTAGGCAAATAATCTTCACTTCTCTTTTTTATTCTTTTTATTTTTTTATTTTTTTTTGAGACAGAGCCTCAAGCTGTCCCCCTGGGTAGAGTGCCGTGGCATTACAGCTCACAGCAACCTCCAACTCCTGGGCTCAAGCGAGTCTCCTGCCTCCGCCTCCCAAGTAGCTGGGACCACAGGCGCCCGCCACAGCGCCCGGCTATTTTTTGGTTGCAGCCTTCATTGTTGTTTGGCGGGTCCGGGCTGGGGATTCGAACCCGCCACCTCAGGTGTACGTGGCTGGCGCCTTAGCCGGTTGAACTATAGGCGCCGAGCCTTTTATTTTATTTTATTAATCTTCACTTCTCAATTATATATTCTCACTCTACTACAAACCTATCCCAAAGACACAGTTGTCTGTGGATTATACTCTGAGCGCATTCTGTTTTTAGGAAGAGATAAAGCTATGTTTCTTAGATTTTAATATACAGTACTGGGTGATCTTACAGGGTGTATATATTCAAAAAATGCAACTTTATATTCTTATACTCCTGGCCATCCCCTGGCCCCCAAGTAAACACTGAAGCGTCCTCAGTGCACTGCGTTCAGCCATACTGCCTCACCAGGACCATTAGAAACCTCCAGCCATGAGCATTTAGAAATTACCATTATATCTAACTTAAACTCAAGCACTTAAAAAAGTTAAAACGGAGTACCTTGTGGACCTTCCATAAAAAACGTAAACACAGTCTTAGGGTTAAAAGGCCAGAGAAGCCAAACTGAAGAAAATTTTCTACGATTTATAGACAATCAGCACTAATATTGTATGTCTGAACCCAAATGTTAAGAGGGAATTATTTTTTCCCCTTTTTTATGTGTTAACTAGAGTTAATGTGATTTTCCTCCTGGATATGGACTTTATACTACCAAAGAGCAATCAATAATGTACTTAGATTACTTTCCATTTTCAGAGATAGTGTTACTATTACCTACATCATAAAACTAGACTATTTTTGATAAGTTTCATCGACATATTTTCCTTCAGTACTATTTAGTAAAGTGAAATTATCATCTTTTTTGTTTTTTTTTTAAATCATCAGTCTTGTACAGTACACTTTGATGCAAATAATATAAGCGGACAACTTGTATGTCTGTAAATACATTATGTGTAAGAAAAAGAAAGACCTGATTATTCTAAAAGTGGTGTCAATTATCTTTTTCTTATTGCTGGTACATACTTCATTCTAGGGTTGGGAACTGGGAAATCATTACTACTGCTTGAACTTTAAGAATTATTCTATGAGCAAGGGGTGTGGATGAAAAAAGGCAGTCCTTAACTGAGTATTGGCCAGTTGGTCATTTACTATCACAGGCAAAACCAAGTGACAGATTGCTGCAGATATCCAAAATGTGTTTCTCTTATAGGAAATTTTGATAATTTTTTTGAACAATAATTGCTGAATCTGTGGGTGACCTTTTATCCTCTCATTGCTAGTGTGCTTTCTGCTAATTCACTTATTGCCAAAGATGCTGCACTGGATGACACTTTTATTTCCCTCTGGTGGTGTGACACTTGTTTTACTGTTCTGACACATCCCGTTGCATCTTGATTGATGTTGGCAGATTACCTCTGATTTGGCTTACATGTGACACGTCCCCCAGTGGCACCTTTAGTGACTCATGACTAGGGAAGACCACACTGTTTATCTCCCTCTCCCCTTTCCACCACATTTTTAGAAAGGTTAAATTAGTTTTTCAGTATTAAGAGCAGGTCCGAAGGGGAATGAAAACACAAAAGGGCAGTCTAGGAGGCTTCTGGATAGTGAAGGAGGTATCTTGTCCTTTTGCTTGAAAAATACCAGGGATATTTATGAAAATGATTGGTCAGCCAGCAGAAATTTTCTTCTGGAAGTAAAACCCAAGAGTCATCTTTTTGAGCTACCAGCTACTGCTTTCCATAGTTACTGCTAAATCACCAGCAGCCTGAAAATTCACTCCCCTTCTCCTAAAGGCAGTTGTTACCTCCCACTGATGCAATAATCACTGCAAGAATACAGCATGTAGCATGCATGGATAGCATATTTTCTTTATATAGCAAAGTCACTTTTAAAACTATTCTATTCTGCTTCCTTAAGAAGACAGATAAAGATTACAATCCTAATTTTACCAGTAATGTATTTAAAATCGAAAAGGATGAACATTTACCTTGCATAAGCCCTGCTGTATCACACTGGCTACGTAGAAAAGGCTGTTCTCTTATGATTGCTTAGATTTCAAAGTCAAATTACACTACTCTTCAAGCAGGGGACCCCCCCCACCCCGTCTCTAAAATAAACAAAAAACAATGAAAGGAGAGCAATAAAAGTAGATTAGGAAAAATATAATAGTCTCCTTTTCTCCATCTCTAATTGAGGGCTGGGCTACAGGCTCTGAAAGGCCTCCGTAGTTGTGATTTTAGGTCCCCAGTGTGCTGACACAGCCCTCTCACCTTTACCTTACCGACAGGACAGCACAGGGAGCCTGTTCCGCACAGGAGGGGTCCCTGGCGTCAGAGTTAGGGGGATGAACGGTTCCCCCAAGGTACCTGGAAAGGTGACCTGTAACTTTTAGGGGATCAGGGAAGTTATCCATCCCCAGAACGTTTGCGTTTGCTTTGCTGTTGCCCCTGAAGCTTGAGACCTGCTTCCCAGACCTTGGTTTTCCTATTTCTTTACACCAAGTTCAGGAAGTCCTTATTGATGTCAAATCACATCTGCCTTCACTGGCTTTAGCTGTAGCAATCCCTGAAAGTCGGGCATGCACACTCTCCAACTTTGCGTGCTGAGGTCTGTCCTCCGTTTCCTGACTTGGTGCCTGAAAACCTGTAATACTCAGAGCGCCCACTCTTTCCCCTTCTAAAGGGCCAGGACAGGGCCTGTTTGCATTAAGCTCTCCAAAAATTGCGATCAAAGGGAAAGCCTTTTCTTGTTCACCATGTTAATTCCCGTTACCCCTGGGCCACGGAGGCTGGAAATTCAGAGTATGCAGTAGCCTCACAAGTCTCCACCTACCGCAGCCTGCCCCTTGCAGGGTCTCCGCCTGGGTACCGCCGCGCGTGGCCTGGGGACGTCCCCAGGGACTGGGAAACGCGCGGGCGCCGCTGGCTGCCGTGGGGCGGCGACCCGGGTCTGTTGTCAAGGGCGAGAACCGCGGGAAGAACGAGGGTAAGGTAAGTCCCGGAAGCCAAGTGAAGACGAGAGAAAGGGGACCACAGAGCGAGAGCGGTGAGCGGAGCAGGGACGAACAGCGCGCGGCGCGACGGCGGCCAGGGCGCCCGGGAGGCGCGGGGCTCTTACCTCGGCTGGAGCCCGCACAGCAGGCCAGCAGCAGCAGCAGCAGGAGAGGGGACGCCGCGGCCACCAGTCTGGCGGGAGGCCGGGGGCGGCGGCTCGCTGCCCGCGGCATCGCGGCGTCAGAGGACCACTAGCTGCTGGGGACCCTGCGCTGCTCCGCCACGTGCCCTGGCCGTGCCTCGGCGTCCCCGGCGTGCAGCCCGTGGGGTCCGACAGCCTAACTGACCGCCCCGAGCACCGCCAACTTTTAAATCTCACGCACACGTGGGCTGCTGTGGCGCGGTCCCAGCGCACGTCCCTCGCCGCCCGCCGCCCCCGGCCTCCCGGCGTCACCGGCGTCCACCCCCTCCGGCCAGAGGTTCTGACTCAGCTCCCACGCATGTTCACGTTGGTGTGGAGGAGAATGGACTTGTAAAAAAGCACGTCCATTCCCACCTTTGGAAGGACTTGAACAGGAGACGGGGCTCCAGTTTTTTAAAATCGGTAGTGGCGGCGTTTCTTGATTCTGCCTGGGGGTCCTTCCTCTTCACTCTCCCTGGGCAGCCTTTGGTGCTGCACTGGACAGTACTGGCGTCGAGGCCCAGAATGCAAACTTCGGCCGCAGCACCTCTATTTTGTCCGCAGTTTGCCTGGTGCGTTTTAGAGCAGTGCCTGCGCAGCGGTGAAGTAGAACTATTGACCATCTCCCGGAGTCATAAGAGAGACCATTTAGGGAAATGCAGTTGTCTGTTGATGAAGGATCAAGAAGAAGGGACAGCTGGAAGCTTGACCACACAGGCGTTTCCAATAGATCTAGGTGGTCTCTGGATCTCCTGTGCATTTCCCAGCCTAAGGTTACATTTTTTTCTGTGCTTTTCTGCAGCTATAGCACTCTGATTTCTAGCGTGACCTGACTTCCGCCAGCTCTCTGCTTTCCTTTAACTTCCTAGAAGCAGCTGATACAGTTCTAATTTCCTTTTAGAGAAAGAGGGAAAACTGATTTCATTTGACCTCCTTTTGAAAGGTGAAGAGCAGCTTAGGAAAAGGCAGGAAGTATATTAACATTTTGAAAGGAGCATTTTTGGTGTCAGGCACCTTCTCCTGCTATTTCATTTAATATTCATGACATCTCTGGGATGCCAGAGTACTGTGATTCTCTTTGGATGCTGCTGACAGAGATCGTAAGCGATCTGCTCAGGGATATCAGCATGAGAGGGGGGCGCTGGCCATTCCACTAGGCTACCGTGCTCTCCCTAAATCGGGAGTCTCAGTGTATCAACCATGTACAGTGCGGCCTCCTATATGCCAGGCGAGTCCTTTGGGGGTACAGCGTATAGCTACAGCAGGACCCTCTTAAGGGACATCACAATTTGGTAAAGGACCCTAGATCCATCATACCTAAATGGCTCTATTACAAGGCATTCTGGGCTAGTGCTTTGTCAGAATGATATTTAGAGAGGAAGGAGTAAAACTCTTGACAGGTCAGGTAAAAATAAATAATGGCTACCATTTCCAAGTTCTTTATATACAGGAAACATATGTGAAAGGCCAGATTATAGGGTCTGGTCCAGGTTCAAGGATGGGTGAGAATAGATTTGATTCACAATTGCGTGTACTATGATTTATTCCCAAAGCAGTAAAAAAAAAAAAATAGTGTAAAGGATGTAAGTGACTTAAGCATGTAGGTGGATGAACAAAGCTCTATGTCTGTGAGCCTTTTCCCAGTGTCTCCCAGACATGCTCTGGAAGATCACCAGTTTCAGCAGCCAGTGTGGCAAGTGAGGCTCAGTGAGAACCGAGAAGCCTGGAACAGTGGGCTCAGTGCTTCTTACACCCCCAGCAGGTCAGCCCAAGACACACGTCGTGTGTTGAGTTTTTCCTGCATGGACCAGGCTGCCCAGAATGTTCTTTAACATGTCCCCTGTGCCAGACCTTTCACGAGAGTAGGGTTATTAGGTCACAGGGGATGATCTGGGGATTTGGGTAAACTATACTGTAAATTGTTTTCCAAAGTGTTATACCAATGTGCACTCCCACCGACAGTGAATGAAGTTTCCATGGCTGCATATCTGTGCAAAAATCATTGGCAGTCTGGCTAATGTGAAATCTCATTGTGGATTTAATTTGCAATTCTCAGTTTACTAATGAGATTGACTGTTTTTTCACAAATGTGTTGGCCATTATTGCTCTCTCTTCAGTGAAATGTCTCAGTGAAAAATATATCTCTTTTTTTCATTTCCTCCTCATTGGGTTGTTAGGTTGTTGTTTTGTTTTTGTTTTTTTCCTGGAACCTTTGTTGGTTAAATACATAGCAAATATTTACTCCCTATTTATGGCTTCTCTGTTGGTTTGATATGAATTGTTATTTTGAAAAAACATTTTAGAAAGCACGGGTAGGCTTGTTGGTCATGCCATCATGTGACTTGGATTTTAAGAGACGATGGACGGGGTATGGGGCCATGGAGGTGCATAAACTCTTTATTTCCCTAGGAACAAATGTTGGGAACAAATCACTACCTGATCCTGCACATCCCTTTTTGTCCAAGAATCCCGAAGAAGCTAAATCCCAGATCTTTGTGTTCAGGACTTGATAATTTGGTTACAAACATTCCAACCTGTCCCTAGAAGTTCACATTCATTTAAATTGCACTTATATATCTGTAAATGCCACCAGCATTGAAAAAATTTCCATTTACTCTGTTCTAGACTAAAAGTTTGATTATTAATATCATGCTGATTCATCTCACCTACATTCTTGACAACAAATTGGCAACTGGACTTTGCTTTCTGCATGGTCATGGGCCTGCAGATTAGCAAGACCTGCTAGTCTGTGATAGGGATATCCAGAAATGTCATCACAGAGGGATATAGAGAAAAGGAGAATGAAGTGTCAGAAGAATGTCAGAGTTGGCCATAGAAGGAAATCCAGTCAGGCTGTAGTTGCCATTGGGTAAGTCTGCTAATACGCAGAGAGACCCAGCTTCTTGAACTGAGGGCAGAGGCAAGATCTAGAAGATTTAGGGATTCTGAGTAAGACAGTCATGCAGTCCTTCAAAAATTAGTTGAGCACCTACTATGCTTCATTCTAGAAGCTTGGATTACATCAGTGACCCAATCAGTTAATATCTCTGCTTGAAGTAGGCAAATTTGAAGTAGGCGAATTTTCAAGAGTCAGATAATACACAAGTAAACAAAAAAACCCCAGCCATTTCAGATAGTAATAAATGCTATCAAGAAATTAAACCAGAGGCTTGGCACCTGTGGCTCAAGCGGCTAAGGCGCCAGCCACATACACCTAAGGTGGCGGGTTTGAATCCCCAGCCCAGGCCTGCCAAACAACAATGATGGCTGCAACCAAAAAATGGCCAGGCATTGTGGTGGGCGCCTGTAGTCCCAGCTACCTGGGAGGCAGAGGCAGGAGACTCGCTTGAGCCCAGGAGTTGGAGGTTGCTCTGAGCTGTAAAGCCATGGCACTCTACCCAGGGGGATAGCTTGAGGCTCCGTCTCAAAAAAAAAAAAAAAGAAATTAAACCAGAATAATGAAATAAGAGAAAGTATCTCAGACTAGGGGAAAGGTATTGAGACAGGGTTATCTAAGGCACATCTCTCTGAGGAGATGATATGGGAGACCTGAAATGTGAGGGAGAAGAACTGTGAAAAAGGAGCCCCAGGCAGAGGGCCCATCAAGTGCAAAGGCCCTGGGGCAGAAACAAGCCTGAAAGGTGTGAGGAGCAGGAGGACCCCAGGGTAGCAGGCACATAGTGAGTGAGTGGAGTGTGGGGAGCTGAGGTCAGAGAAGTAGGCAGGCTCTGATCACTGAAGGGTCTCATATGCCATGATGAGGAACTCAAATTTTTCTCTAAAGTGGGAAGCTTTTGGAGGATTTTAAGTAGAGGAGAGAGATGATCTTATATTTACATTTGAAAAAGATCCCTCTGGGATCCCACTGGTGAGCACACTCTGAGGGACCCCAGTAGAAGCTGGAAGACCAAGGGAGAGGACACTGCAGAAGGCCCTGCCACAGCATGAGAAGGAGCAAGGTAGTGATGCAAGCTGCAACCTGGATGGACCTTGAAAAGGTTGTCGTGATGAAAGAAGCCAAACAAGAAAGGGAATGTAGTGTGTCTGCATCAGTGACTATGCTGTAATTCGGTGATTTTTACCCTGTGTGCAGCCTCACACTGGTGTGCTGTGAGAGGATCTTAGGTGTGCCTCAAGAATGTTAAAGATTATTAATTAAGATGTCTGGGCTTGGACTTGGGCGTGGTTCGTGGAGACATGACCAAATGCACCAGGAGGGATCGTTGGTAAATATGGGGCCCACTATGGTGCCTCCATCTGCAAAATGGTGAAAAACATAGAACTCAGCCAGCACGCCAATAGAGGCAGGACCTCACTATTGCCAGGCCAGTCTCAAACTCCTGAGTTCAAGGAGTCCACCCAGCTCAGCCTCCCAGGGTGCTGGAATCTGGACATGAGCCGCCACTCCAGGCCATGCCTAAATGCTTTCTATTAACAGGACGCTCACCTGCTCATTCAGTGAGCTTTCTGTCTTCTCTAAGACCACTTGCACTCTATCATACATGCTGTAGACTTAATGTTTGTCTTACCCCCCCCAAATTTAGTGTTGAAATCTTAACCCCCAATATGACAGTATTTGGAGGTGAGGCCTCTGATAAGTGATTAGGCAATGAGGGCAGAACCCTCATGAGTAGGCTTGGTGCTCTTATTAAAAAGGACCCAGAAAGCTCCCTTGCCTGTTCTACACATGAGGACATAGCACACAGCCATTTATGGAGCCTGGAAAAGGGTCCTCACCAGTCATGGAATCTGCCAGTCTTGATCTTAGATTTTCCAGCTGTCAGAAATACATTTCTGTTGTTTATAAGCCACCTGGTTATGGTATTTTTTTAATAGCAGCCCAAATTGACTTAGAAAATGTATTTTTCCAATTTCCTGCTATTGCCTGTCTATGTCCATGAAAGGGTAAACCATTTAGAAATACCACCCTATTTTCAAATTGGAAATGTACAGAAAAATTTGTGTTTAAGGATATATAATTCTAAAGAGTAAAAGTTCTACTGAGTATGGAAGTTAAACACAAACTACTCCAAAGACCCGATTAATCTATGA